AGAAAGAAAAAAAAGAAACCTTGTCTCAAAAAATAAACAAAGAATTAAATTTGGTTGAATATTTAGTATTATAGGATATAGAGCATCTTCATTTTTCAAAGTTGATTCAAATTTTGATATTTATAAGCTTTATTTACATTAACTTACTTATTTGGGGTACACCAATGTGCATTTCATCAGGGTGTGTAGAGATCAGAAGACAGCTTTCAGGAGTTGGTTCTCTCCTTCCACCATGTGGGGGTCCAAGGATCAAACTCAGGTCGTCAGGCCTGGTCTAAATGCTTTTATCTACTTAGCCATCCTGACAACCCCATGTTTTTATTTTTAGTTTAGTTTAGTTTAGTTTTAGTTTTTTCAAGACAGGGTTTCTCTGTGTAGCTCTGGCTGTCCTGGAACTCACTCGGTAGATCAGGCTGGCATTGAACCCAGAGATCCACCTGCCTCTGCCTCCCAGATGCTGGGATTAAAGGCATGCACCACCACTGCCTAGCTATTTTTCTAATTATTTACTTATTTTTATGTTACGTGCATTGTGTTTTGCCTGCATGTATGTCTGTGTGGGGGTGTCAGATCTCCTGGAAGTTACAGACAGTTGTGACCTGCCATGTGGGTGCTTCATATGAATACAGGATACAAGACAGCAGAAGTATGGTTAAAGGGGTTTCAGAAATTGTTAATAATTCTGTCTGAATCCAAAATCAAAGTTTTTTAATGTTTTTTTAAATGAAACTCAAATCAGAAAATAAAATGTTATAAAAGAAGAAAAATAGGCATTGAGTGGTGGCTCACATCTTTAATCCCAGCACCCAGGGCAGAGACAGGCGGATCTCTCTGAGTTTGAGACTTACTTGGTCTACATAGCAAGCTCCAGACCAGCCAAGGCTATATAGTGAAACCTTGTCTCAAAAAGAAGAAAGAAAAAAGTCCATTACTGTAATTCAATCCAAAGATATACCAAATTGATACATACATGCTGAGGAATGATGATAGAAAAAATATTTAAAATCTTTGCTACTCATTGTGAAAGAGTAAGAGGCTTGGTTGTGAAAACTGCCATTCATAACATGCACAGTTCCAAATGGAGCTGAGGTGTTTCAGGCAGCAGCTGTTAGCACTGTGGCATGAGAACACTAAGCACAAGGAAGTGCTGAAGGCACGCACTGTGTGTTCAGGGCCACGGCTGTAGTGAAGTACTCAGAGCCATAGGTGAGCCCTGCCCCAAACACCTCTGATTCATTGTCCATTTGATTCAGAATCAACTTTTGGTTGTTGAGCATTCAGAAACTTTTACTACTGCCAAATTTTTTGTGACCACCTGCCCCCCACACACACACACACATTAAGTTATGCAACTCCATATAGTAACATGACGGGTGGTTTAAGGAGCTGTGACTTAATATAACCACTCAGAGACTCTGCTACTTTAAAGCATAGTAGAATTGGAGGGTGTTGAAATGTGATGTTCACAGTACAGGAACAGCACAGCAGGCACCCCAAGCTTCATCTTGAAGGCCAGGAAAGGAGCTGAATAGTGGCAGGGCGGGTTGGAAAGAGATTGACCCAAGTGACTTGCTAAGGTGTCCGCATGATAGTGCAGTGAGGCTAGGAGACTGGCCCATGGAGCCAGGAAGAGAACGCAGCCCGACTGCTGGTCTGGCCTGCCCTCTGCTTCCCCTTCGGTTGGCTTCCTCGTCCTGCCCTCCTGGCAGCTTGGGTTCCGCCATACCCCATGACTGACTCTGCAAAGTCATTCACTACGTGCCTGAATGAGATCCCCTGAATCACACAGAGTGCTGCAGAGCCCCACCCTGCTGAAAAAGAAGCAGTCTCATGGATGCTGCTGACACTCCCCCCGCCCCCAGAGGACCCACCGTCTGTTGTACTGCCTGTATGCACAGCTGGAGATGTCTCAGTGAGAACAGGGCATACATAGGCCTAACCAAACAGTCTGTCAGGCCAAGTGGCCAGCCAGCCAACCTGTCTTGTCAGCAGTATTGTACAAAGGTGTGTGGAGAAGCTCAGAGGCTGTCTAGGACCAGGAGTTGAGGGCTCTTCCTTGAGTAGCATGGAGGTCCAGCTGACCTATGCCAGGGTTCAACTTTGTGTTCTTTATTCATGTGCAGCCTAAGTTCAGAAAAAGGGCTACGGACCCCTGACCAAGAACACAGGCTATGAAAAGTGAGACAGAGAAAATGAGCATGAGAAAGTGAAGCTAAACCTGGTCTCAACTAGTCAAGTAGAACCCTGGCCTCTGTCTTCCAGCTTCTCAGGGGGAGGAGAGTCCCTGGTCAGTAACAAGGTCCTGGGTACCACATAACAGATGGCCAACTGGCAAAAAGTCCCCATGACCCTCTTGGGAGGCCCCAGTATGACATGGAAAAGGCATATGGGGGCCTGAGCCTGACCTGGATGGACCATGTGTTTATTCTGCATCTCAGCAGGTCCCTTGGACGTTTGCAGTCAAAAAGCACTGAGTGATCCCAACTCCATGTGTTCTACAGGCAAGAACTCAGGGTACAGAGCTAGCAGGAGGTAGCCCTGCCAGATGGCCTCACCAGGGATATGTGGAAATTCTAAGAGTGGCCTGTCCTGTACTCTGACCCAGTGCCCTAGACTGCTTCTCAATAATGAAATTGCGAGCAAGCCACATAGTCTGCCCTGTGACAACAACTGATACACCCATAGTACATCGGCAGATTTATAAAGTATCACTGCTCAGGTATGAAGGATGCTACCCCTGATGCCATCTGTCTAGATGGTAGAATTTGGGCAGCTGCCCCTCCCCAGGGGGTTGATTTCTAGAATCACTTGGGTAACATGGTGGGGTTTTGCACGAGAGTCTCAAGGTTGGTCACAGGTCTGATGTTAGATGGTAGCAGGTCATCTTGCAGGCTGGGGATATAGATCCACAGGGTGGGGGCAACAGGCATCATTGGCCATGTGGTTCCTATTGTCTCTGTCCACGAAGAACAGTGTGTGAGCTGACTTAGAGTGGTTGGCACTAGTGGGGAGCAAAGTTCATGGAGAGAAGATGAAAGGGAAGAGACCAGCAGCAGCATCCCCACCTCCAAGCTCCTGGGCACAAAGCCAAACAGCCTGTCCCCAGCCGGAGGGTTAGGGACCAGCTTCCCCTCAGGAAATGCTGACTGATGGCTGCTTTGTTCCTCTTGCATTTCAGTCTCAATGTGTGTTCGACTGTGTTAGCAACCAGAATTATCCATTGAGCCTGTTTTCCAAAATTGTCATCCTGTTAATATCAAAAAGCTTCTCAGTGTCTTTCTATTGTTTGAGCAATAGTTGCTGCTCAGATTCATTGAGGATCAGCTACTTGCAAATGCCATATTAATTGCAAAAGGTGTTTGTTTGTTTTTCTCTTTTTGAGACAGGGTCTCACTATATAGCCCAGGCTAGCCTGGCTTGGTGCCTGAGTGCTAGGATTATAGTCTTCCACCAGCAGCCCATCTTAGGAAAGTATTTTTAAATTGTCTAGGGAGCTCATTAGGTAGATGAGAGGTTCACATAGGTGAGATCCTCAGGAAGGCACAGGTGAAAGGGGAAATGTGGGGTGCTCGGGGCAGGAGCAGCTGGAGCTGCCATGCTGTCTGTCACACGGATGTGGGTAGGGAGGAGGTCATAGAGGCCCTGTGTGTTCTGTTGGCCTGAGGTAACAGACCTCAGAAGGAGAGTGGGAAGAACAGGGTGTCTCCGAGATGCTCCTGGGCTGCACCTGCTGGAGCACAAAAGGCAGAAAAGGGGGCAGTACTGTACCCGTATCACAGGGGACAGCATGGTCCAGGATGGACTTGGCAAGTCTCAGAGCCTAGTGAGAAGGAGAAGACAGGAGCCCTGGCCTACACCTGGCCCCACCCCCAGAAGACCTGGGCAAAGCCACAGCCCATATGAGAACCTTAACCTCAGGGTTACTAGCTTTCCTGCCTAGCCAGAATGGTCCCAGAATGCAGAGGGAAAACTCTCTCTACTGACCCATCACACACAGACCCAAGTTCAGCTGTTTGGCCTCCCACAGACACCTAGATTCTGAGAGTGCACTCATGGGCTTTGGTCTTTTTCTCAGTAAAAGGCTCCCTGCCTGTCAAGGCCCCAAGGAAGAGGGGAAGAGGCCAACCCCCCTTGTAAGCTTAGGTACTTCTACCTATGAGATGGGGATGCTGTTCCCTGGCCTGGCCTGCAAACCTGCTGTTGGTCAGGAACACATCACTCCGGATTTCCAGAAAGTCCCTTGATCACACTGAAGGGATGCCCACCTAAGTCTCATGCTTTCTAAAGATCAGTGTCATCTTCTGACGGGGTTGTCTGACTTGTAGCCTCTGTGGCAGTTTGTAGTAGAGACTGGGTACCTGTAAACCAGACCTCTTGTCAGTTTTAGGGGGTTGTCATCTGGAGAGAAGTTGCATGTAAACAGACATGCCTGTTTTATGTAGCATCTTCTTATTTATGCAACCCTTTCTTCTTGTACTCTCAAACCTTAGTGCTCTTTTAAGTGAAGTTCCCCCACTCCCAGGGTAGTATATAGACCCCAAGACAAGAGAGCTGGAGAAAGAGAAGAGCACCATTGGGGTGGGGGAGGTAACACTGTGCTTTGCTACCACGTGCTTCCTTTGGTGTCCTAGACATCCTAGCCAGAGTCTCCTTCACTATCCTAAAGGCCCTGACTACCTCAGAAATAAAGACAGAACTCATCCACATGGTCTTATACTTCTTAATTTACTCCTTAATAATATTTATTTTTAACCAAGGAAAAATGTCTTGATTTGATTAGTATGCCCATCTTTCATCCTTCAACCACATATAATGGCAGAGAAAGAGCCTTCAGCCACATGAAAGAAGCCAGAGGCAGAGTCTAAGCTCATCAGGGGAGTTATGCAGCATTGCTTTTCAGGGAGGGCATGAGGCCCAGGTTCCCTGACGTCACCACTATCATGAGCACAACCTCCCCTCATCTAACCACACGAAGGTGACAGAAAAATAAGGAGACTTACATTTGACGGTGCCTCGAGACTCCTGGAAACCTGCTGACTCAGAGCCCCATCCCAGCACCTCGCAGTCATGTGTGTCCGCCTGCCCAACTCGGGACCCAGGGCTTGTGCCTCCCTTACCCCTGTCCACCAGCCAGCAGGACTTCCACAGCCCCACACTTCGCTTGCGTCCATCCTCCAGCGTCTGGTACACCCAGTTGGGGGTAAAGGCTGCTGCATTGTTGAGGATGAGTGAGACAAGGGCCACCAGCACAGCTGTGGCCACAAGTTTCTGCACAGTCATATCTGACTGTGAGTACTGTCTATCTCGGAGAAAGTCCCAAGTCCCAGTCAGCTGCTGTGCATCCAGAGAAAGCCGAGATGCTGCTAGGGGTAGCTAGAGAACATCACCACTCATCCTTGGGAAGCTATGCAGCAGGTCCAGCCAGGCACATGAGGATGTCGGCAGTATAGGGAGAAGCCCATGGGACAGGTCCAAGTGAGCTGATCACGGCCCTGCCTTATCCTCCCTCTTGAACCTGGAGCAGGGACAAGCCTGTGCTGAAGCTGGTCTCCCCAAGACCCATTCCAGGGAGAAAGCTGGGGCACCGGCCACACCAGCGAGAATCCAGAGTTGTAAGTGGGCTGTCTTCTTTGGAACCGAGGCCAGAGAGGCTGTGTCCAGGCACCTCTTGCCTACAGCAATGGAAAACGAAGTAACTCAGGAGGCAGGGACAGCGTGAGAATCAGCTGGGTCACACTCCTTAGAACTGCCCGTGGGAGCCAGTCCGATGAGAGGAGCAGGCAGGGTTGGGAAGCAGCGTGGGTTTGGCCACCTCTCTGCTGCCTAGCCCGTCTTGATGCCTCTGCCACAAATGGCAGGTCCTGGAAAGCAGAATGCCTGCTACAAGGAAATGTGTGTATGCGCGTGTGTGTGTGAGCTGTGTGTGTGAGCTCCCGTTTCCCTGTCTCTCAGCAGAGAGGAAATGGTTGTTTTTGAGGCTGTTTTTGGTGAACAGGAGGGCGTAGCCAACTGCAACAAATAGCAACCCTGCCACAGAGCCAGACACTAACAGGATGTGCTTCCTGATGGGAACGGCCTGCTCCAGCCCACCCCCTGGCTGCCCCTCCCACCTTCCTGGCCCATAGGAGTAGTCAGAAACACCAGCCAGGACACTCATCTTACCTGTTGCTGTCAAACCTAGCCAGCTGTGCTAGGTCCAGGATCAGGGGATGCTAGGGACACCATAAGCAGGCAGAATCCTAAGGGACTAGGTGTCCAACCGTCCATCCATCCATTGCCCCCTGCATGATAGGCACTATGAGTCCCCAATGTCTACAGCAGTGGTTCTCAACCATGGGTCATGACCTTCTTGAGGAGGTCGAAAGACCCTTTCACAGGGGTCACCTAAGACCATGGGAAAACACAGATATTTACATTAAGATTCATAACAGTAACAAAGTTACGGTTAGGAAGTAGCGACAAAATAATTCTATGGTTGGGGTTCACCACACCATGAGGAACTGTAGTAAAGGATAGCAGCTTTAGGAAGGTTGAGAACCACTGGTCTACAGCCTTCCCTCTCCACGGGGGTTCTACTTTTGGTTTGGGGGGCCAGGGGGGTTAGTTTTTCAAGATAAGCTTTCTCTGTGTAGCCCTGGCTGTCCTGGAACTAACTCTGTAAACCGGGCTGGCCTTGAACTCACAGAGATCTACCTGCCTCTGCCTCCAAAAAGCTGAGATTAAAGGTGTGCACCACCACTGTCCAGCTGGGGTTCTACCTTGGGATGGAGATACAGGTTCTGGGAGGGCAGAGCAGGGTGGAGAGGCACCTGAGACAGACCGTCATCTGCTGTCAAGGAGCACGTGTGCTCAGACCTGATAGAGAAGGGCCTCACTTGAGGAACCTCTGGCTGGGGTTGTTCTTGTGGTCAAGGAGAGGCAGAATTCTGGGAGGGGGCTTGGAGCACTGTGCAGGCTGGGATAGCTCATGTGGTTTCTGACCGGCCAGCTTTGCTTACTGACATGGCGATTATTCCCCTGAGGCTGGACAGGAGCAAGACAGGTGACTATACTATCATTTGCTCTCCTCATAACCCTTCAGCTCTGGTGAATGAAAACAACCAGGTCTGAGCCAGGCAGTGGTGGTGCACGCCTTTAATCCCAGCACTCGGGAGGCAGAGCCAGGCGGATCTCTGTGAGTTCGAGGCCAGCCTGGGCTACCAAGTGAGTTCCAGGAAAAGGCGCAAAGATACACAGAGAAACCCTGTCTCAAAGAAAAAAAAAAACAACAACAACAACCAGGTCTGAGACTCGGTGCCCCACCTCCAGAGAGCCTGATCCTCCCATAATAGGAATCCACCCACCAGGGTTCTAGAGAGGCATAAGTGAACACAAGAATGTAAGTGCTGTCAGCTGCCGACCCCAGCCTCTAGCACATGCACCCAGGACAGTATTTGGACACAAGAATTTGGTGCTGACTAGTGCCCAGGTAGTAATGGTACAGCCTTTTCCTGTCTTCAT